ATGTAGCCTAACTTAGCTTAGTATTCTATAAATAAACTAGTTCTCTCAGGTTGTTGAGAGGGGTTAATTGTTGGTATTCACTTATAATCTTTGAACCCTTATTGAGGAAGTGAATAGTAAAATAATTTAAACCAATTCTTATTCTTCTTCTTCCTTCTTCCCTCTCTTTCGTAAAACCTAATAGGATTTTTTGTGTTTGTTCAAAAAAATCAATCTTTATATTATAACTTTGTTCTATTATTGGCAACATCGTTTCACAATAAACTGATGCAGTGAGTGTGGAGGAAAACATGTCGTTAACAAAGTATGAGATTGAGAAATTCACCGGTGTGAATGATTTTGGTATGTGGCACTTGAAGATGCAAACCCTTCTTGTTCAACAGGGTTTTTAGAAGCGTTGAAAGGATCAGAGAAGATGAACCCTACCCTATCGGAGAAGGAGAAGACAACGATGATCGAAAAAACCTACAATACCATTGTATTGAGCCTTGGTGATAAGGTTCTTTAGCATGTTTCACAGGAAAAAACTGCAACTGGTGTGTGGACGAAACTTGAAGGTTTGTACATGACGAAATAGTTGGTTAATCGTCTCTACCTGATGCATTTTTTGTATTCATTCAAGATGAGTGAAGACAAAGTCTTGGTTGAGCAGTTGGATATGTTCAACAAGTTGATTCTTGATCTTAAGAATATTGAGGCCAAGATTGATGATGAAGATCAAGCGTTGTTGTTGTTGTGTTCTTTACCTAAGTCTTACGCTCATTTTTAAAGAAACTCTCTTGTATGGAAAAGATTCGTTGATCTTTGAAGATGTTCAATCTGCCTTGTACTCTAAGTATTTGAACGAATGAAAGGAGAAAAAACCATCTTCTGTTGGTGAAGGTTTGTCAATTAAGGGAAAATTCTTGAAGAAAGATGGTAGATTTGAGAAGTAGAAGGGTAAAGTTCTAAAAAATTATTATGGTGGTAATGCTTCTACTATTAAGTGTTATCATTGTAAGAAGGAGGATCATACAAGTAAAGTATGCCCTAATCAACTAAACAATCATGATGGAAAGGATAACAGTAATGCAACCATTGTGCAAGATGGTTATGAAACATCTGATGTCCTAGTGATTTCAAGCAACAACTCTAGTAAGGAGTAGATTATGGATTCAATGTGTATTTGGCACATGAATCAAAACAAAGACATGTTTGAGGAATTATGTGATCAAGATGGTTGATCAGTGCTGCTGGGAAATAACAAAGCTTGCAAAATTGCAAGTATTGGATCTGTTAGATTCAAGTTCCATGATGAGTCAGTAAGGTTATTGACTGATGTTAGGTATGTACCTGAGCTTAAGAGGAATTTGATTTCTCTTGGTGAATTCGACAAGAAAGGATATATTTTCAAAGGAGAGCAAAAAATACATGAATCCTGTAGAATGAAGTTTAACAAAGGTAAACAAAGAACACATGGATCCCTTGATTACATTCATGTTGATCTTTGGGGGCCTGTAAGGAATCAATCAAACTCAGGTGCAAAGTATTTCCTATCCATAGTTTATGATTATTCCAGAAATTCATGGGTATTCATCCAGAAGATCAGGATGAAACTTTTGAAAATTTCAAAAGTTTGAAGACTCTGGTCGAAAACTAAACTGGCAGGAAGATCAAGAAGTTGAGGACTGATAATGGTCTTGAATTTTGTAATGAGGTTTTTGACAGCTATTGTGTCGCGTCTGGTATTGCAAGGCACGAAACTACAACAAGAACTCCCCCAAAAAATGGTTTGGCTAAAAGGTTTAATCGAACCATTTTGGAATGAGTAAGGTGCATGTTAGTTAGTGCATGATTGAAGAAGGTGTTTTGGGCTAAGGCATTCATGATTGCAGGTTACCTGATAAATAGGTATCCCTAGATAGTTTTGGGGATAAAAACACCTAAAGAAGTTCCACCGAAACATCTACCTAATCTTGACAGACTTATAGTATTTGAATGCTTAGCCTATGCTCACATTAGGCAAGACAAGGTCAAACCTAGAGCTCTAAATTGTATGTTCCTTGGATACACTTAAGGAGTCAAGGCTTATAGGTTGTGGTGTCTTGAGCCAGATCACAAGAGGTGTATCACAAGTCGAGATGTAGTTTTGAATGAAGCATAAATGACTTTCAAGAAAACTGATGACATTGATCTAAATGCCAAGATCTCTGACGAAGAGCTGGAACATGAAGGGATTCCTATTGAGGTTGAGCATGTTGATGTTGAATTGCATAACCCAAATGAAGTCGAAGAAGAAGCAAAAGTTTTTGTCGAAGTTAAGGAGACTAATAATGACTACCTGTTGGTAAGAGATAGGTCGAGAAGAGTCATAAAGCCACCTCAAAGAGTTGGTTAAGCAGATCTCATAACTTATGCCTTAATCTCTACAAGTGAGGTTCTTGAAGAAGAACTTAGAGACTATAAAAAAGTAATAAGAATTCAAAATAAGACTAAATGGCTGAAAGTCGTGGATGATAAGATGAAATGTCTTCATGATAATAACACTTGGAGCTAATCGAGAAACCTGCATAATCCCGATTAGTAAACTGTAAGTAGATTTTCAAGGTTAAGGAACCGAAGGATTCAACAATTCAGTTATCTGCAGGGTATTCCTAGAGCCCCCACCATTGTTTCTCCTCCCATAGTCCTCCACAGAGATGTTGATGAGATATATACGGAGTACCATGATCATCTGGTCCTAAAGGATGTATGTAGTGTGTTAGCTCATGAGTCATGGAATTGTCTATTAGAATACATCTAATGGTTTTTTAGAGTGTCACATTCTTTCATGAAACTGGATGCAGAGGAAGATAGAAGAGAGAGATGAGAGTTTTAGGAAGACACTGTTGGAAGGGCCACTGTAGATGACATGATAGTCAAGGCACATAATGTCTTGCAGTACATGAGGCAGAGAAAGAACCAAAGGGGTTACATATACTCAATAGTTGAGTTTTTCTTTGTATTTTGATACTTTGTATTTTAATTTGTATTTTGTGAACAATGTATGGTGTCATTTTCACTTAATAAATGGTATTTTTATTAAATTACATTTGTGTGTTATTTCATTGAATTACATTGTGTTATTTCATTGAATTACATGTAGTATTTTGATTGTATTTTGTGATCAATGTAGGATTTGATAGAATTATATAAGGTTTATTAAAATGTACTAACCCAAGTGTTAATATGTAAATTAACTTCCGTGATATCCACTGAGTTGTGAAATAGACACACTATCATAAGTTCTAAAAGTGTCATATGAGTTAGTTTGAAACTTAACCTACATACTCACTCTTCCCTTAATACGAAGGTTAACTTCTATATTAATTTTTGACAAAATAGAATGACTCACTAAGTGTTTTGATGTGTATGAAGGGCGCTCAGAGGTTAACTTCAATATTATTCCAAGGATATTTTTCTAATTTTCTAATGGTGACTCTTCACCACTCAGGGTGGGAAGAACAACCCCTAAATTTGTCATTAGTCAAACAATTCAAAAGTAGAAAGAATACATTTGGTTGCACAAAATCTTAAGATATGATAATTTTATTAATTACAAATCAGACCACTGGCACAATACATATAATCAATATATATATATATATATATATATATATATATATATATATATATATATATATATATATATATATATATATATATATATATATATATATATATAGCACGTAACAAATTCATCATTCAATTGGTTGCAACACATTCATATAAATAGAGTCAACCCTGTGCAAGAGGAACAAACCCTACCATATATAGTGTCCTATATTTTAGAAGGCCCCAAATTTTAAAAAGTGTTATTTTTTCCCATAAACTTTAATAAATAGTAAAAAAAATATTATAATAAAAACTCAATAAATAAATAAAATGTTATCATAAAAATCCAATACATAAAAAAATGAGAATAATCAAAAGTTATAATCATTATAATTAAATTTATTTTTGATTAATATATAATTAAACTTTATGTGTCATCTTTAATTATTATAATTGCATTTTTTTTATTTTGGGCCCATTTTTCAAATTAAAACGACAGTTCTAGATTGATTGGGTCAACCTAAAATACAAACACATGCACAATACATCTAGTATGATCACAGTCCAATCCCGACACTACCGAATATCTTGCAGGAATGTTTTAACAACAATAATCAACACATAAGACAAGTTCTAATGTGATGGGATGGATTGACAGACTATATATCACCCATAATAACAGCAATCTTTCATTTAAATCTAATAAAATCATTCAAAATTTTATGAAATTGACATCACTTTTCTAGCATATGACTTTTTATTAAATTGACATCACTTTTCTAGCATATGATCTTTTAAAATCATTTTATCTTATTTCAAAAGAACAAGCATAGCTTAACCTATAAATTTTTCTAGCACATTATAACAACTCACTGTCTTGTATCATTGTTTCTAGAGCTACATGAATAATTTCCTGCAAAGGGACCAATGTCTATAACCTTGACATAATGGATCACTTAAGATCTTCTAATAGAAGTTTTCCAGTATGGACATACTTGTATTGTATCTGAACTCTGAAAGAGTATAATAATCAGGCAAGTTCCTGCAAGTCAAATAAGGTCATGTAAGAAGCAAAAATATGTCAAATGAGCCAATATAGTGACTTACGTTATCTCCACGACTCTTGCATCTGCATTAACAGATATAACATAAGCTCTATTTTAAGTTTCACAAGTTCAAATGGGAGCAGTCAACTTGAACATTGAGTGTGAACCAAACACAGTGGAGCCAGATGTGTATGCCAGAGTCATATAGATCACAATATTAGAAAAAATTATACGGTCCTATATGTAACTCAAAATGCACACAAGCCTTTTTTTAAAGGTAGGCAGCTGAGCTAATGCTTATCCACTAATAGTAACTTGTTATAACCAAAGATATATAGAAAGAATGAAAAATTAAAACAAACCAATTGTAAATGTCTCGGTCTATGAGGTTTTTTTTCTGCAATCAACTAAGTCAACTTCAGCCGAAGGTGAATTTTGAAGCAAGAAATCCACAATTCCATCAGGTACGAGCGGAGACGGTTCCAATCCTAAATCAAATGCTTTCTGTATCCTGGCAACTTCTTCCATTGACTTGGCGTTCTGTAACTTGCCATTACACAACGTCAGGCGGAGTCCATAATGAATTTCGTCAATTTTCACTTTCAATAACTTCAATTTACCCAAGGAAGGGATCTCAAACTTCAACAAACTAGGAATTAAGGAGAGAAGCTGCGCAATGAGGGATGCAAGAAATTAGTCAAATGCAAGACAGATAATTTTTTATGATATTTAGAAGAAAATAAAAAGGTATCTTAAGAAGAAAGTAAAAACACAGCCTCAAAATATGTTAAGTTAATGTACCTGAAGAGTACTTGCAGTGACGGTCAATGATTTTATATTAGCAAACTCTGAGAGCCACTTCAACAGAAACAAAGGAGGCCCGCATCTATATGGAAATGCTCCTGCATCAATATCTACATGTTTAAGAAAAGAAATATTGCTCCCAGAGATATCGTGATAAGGAATACCACGAAAAGCAAATGTACAAAGACTTGGAGTGCAAAGAACAATTTTATAACCGCTTTCCAAGTCACTGAATATAGTAAAATTGACGAGCGTCGCGTTAGATATGCAGAGGGTTCCCAAAGCTTTCACGGAACAATCAGCAATGAGCAAACGATTCAACATATTAAAGGTCGAAAATGGTTCTGCGCAATCATTGTCGCCAACAGAAAATGTAAAATTCTCTAGTTCCAAGGTAGATAACTCCGGCAAATTGAGAGATTTTGGAAACAGGATTTCACAACTAAAACAAATAGAAAGCTTAAGATACTTTAATGCTGGTAAATTGAGAGAAAATTGATCAATGTCATGATCGGAAATAGAAAGGGTAAGATGTGTTAAAGTCTGAGATGAAAATAAGGCAACAGGAATTAGTGAAATGCCACTAGTTCCACTAAGTCGTAAGCGTTGAACATTGTGTGAAATAGCATAATTCACAATCCACGTAAGCATGTAACGCACCAAGAGAATAGATACATTCTCAAAGTCGAGAGTGTGCAGTGAGACAGAGGAATCGCGAAGAGAGAAAACCTTATACACGAATTCGGTGAATATCATATTAGTTTGAAAATCTGATCTACGGAATATAAGAGCGGGGAGACGTTTCCAGAGATCCTTCCATCTTGAGGATAAGATGCATGTTCTAACTGCATGCTTGGTAGTCAAGAAAGAGAGTATGTGAAGGATAATGCATTCGGGTAAGTCGTTGAACATGTCTTTGTCTACATTATCAGTAACTTTAACTTTCTTCGTCGCGGAACTAGCCATTACCTAATCAGAAGAGGAAAAATCATGCATCAAAATCTCGAAAAACAAGAATCAACATCTCACAAAATCATATTTAACAAACTGCAATGCAAAATCAATCAGGAAAAAATCATGAATCAATATCTCACAAAATCATGTTTAACAAACGGCAATGCAAAATCAATCAGGAAAAAATCACGAATCAATATCTCTTCACAAACAGCTATAGAAAATCAATCGCGAAAAAACATGAATCAATATCTCTCGAAAAACTGCAATTGAAAATCAACAGCGAAAAAACATGAATCAAGATATGCAAAGGAAAAATGAATGGAGAAATAGGAAATACCTTGCGAGCGAGTTTGTTGATTTGAAGTTACGCTTTCTAGGGTTTATGCTAAACGATTTCTAGGGTTTTAGGAAGTTTTCTTTTTGCGAATAAAATTTGAATTATTACTCTCTCTGTTATTATTTTACTAATACATTATTTTTAATTATTTATTGTGAACATATGAATAGATGAAAAGAAATACAATTATTTATAAGATAATGCAATGAAATAATAAACTTTAGCATAGAGTTAAATATCTCATCAATAAACTATCTAACAAATACAATTAGATATGTTTTTTACAATTAGAGAAACAACGGTTTAAAGAATGTATTATAACTCAACTAATAAAACAACTTCAATATCTTTGATAGAATATTTAAGAGCTATAGAGGTGCATAAATAATATCAAGTACAAAGACTCAAATAACAAATTCTAACACATTAGGTATAAAACTCATTTTCGTTTTTTCTTTATTAGAAATGAACCTTCTTATATATAAATCATTTGTTAGGTCTGAGAGTTTGATTTAAAAGCAAACATATTTGATTTGATGCAAATTTACTTTTAATGTAGATTTGATTTGCTTATTCATTAATGTCCACCAAGAGATTTAATCTCATTTAAGTTCATTTGGTCTTGGATAAGATTTGTAGTTAATCTTCTTTTAAAACATATTGCTAAAAGATACAAATCATAAATGACAAATCTCCTTAGAATCAAATAGAACCGCGTGTTGGTTTACCCAGAAACTTTGACTAACAACCTGAGGTCAAATGATACACATATGCTGGAACATCTTGTCCTACATGATGCCTTTTTAAAAATTACATATTGTATTGCCCATGTTGTTTTGCCAAAATCAATCTATCAAAGAAACAACAATCTCCTCCTTTGGCAAAATTTGGCTAAAACAACTTTAAAAAAAATTACAAGATGTGCAAGAGTAAATCTTTCAAAAAAATTCATGAGCACAAAAGTAGCACACCACGTCAGAACATACACATCAACATAAGTAGCACACAAATCAGATAAATGCAAGGTGGTTGATACACCTAAAGAGATCTCAAATTAAACATCAAATAAGAACCCACATCTTCCACATTGACAAGAACACAAGCATACATGCATGCACACAACACATTGTTACTCCCCCCTTTTGCCACAATTTAGCAAAGGTTTGAAAATAAAAACCAAAGAAATACCAAAAAGCATACTAAATATCATATTTGGTGTCATAATGAAGAAACATATCAAGGTAGCAGCAGACACACAAAGTTATAAAGTCGTTGTAGAACCAGCAACAAAAAGAACATTTCATACCCATATATAAGTGCCAAACAAAATAAATCTGAAACAATTGGAATCAAACTTCATTATCCAGACCAACCACCTGACAATAGTCAACTAACCTTTATATGTCAGAATCACTTGATTGTACATACTTTGTCTTCTTCTTTGCAGCTTTCCCTTCAGCCTTCCTTTTCTTTGTCATAGATTTCTTTTTTGGAGTTATCTCCTTCCTAATCACAAATGGTTCACCACATGGTACAATATCTTGTTCATCAATCTTGTTGCTTGACTCGGGAACTCTAGATTTCTTTGTTGATATTTTCTTCTCCAACTTGTCTCTAAGCATTATGACCTCATTACCAATGGTAACAGATTCAATTGTTTTAGCTTCTTTAGATGTTTGACTCATATTCGAAAGAGATTGAAGAATTTGAGCAAAATGAAAGAATAGTTTTTATAGAACAATAGAGGGGGGGAGAGATGTAAATTGTTCTTCGCTGTAAAAATGGAGTAGTTATGAGAAAATATCTCTCTATTCTTCAGGCCTCCCCTGCATTAATTGCTATAAATTCTCACATATGCAAATACCAAGAGCACTCCTTAGCTTTTTAAATTGAACTGCATCTAAATTTGTAGCGAATATGCCAGCTAGTTGATTTTCAGTTACTACATGCTCAAGGTTTATAATTTTATCTTCCACAAGTTCCCTAATGATACAATTATAGCATGATGTAGATAATCAAAGAACATTAATAGCATGATGATCGCATATGCCTAAAATGTCGACCGGAACAATTTTCAGTTACTACATAATCAGGAAACATTTATCTTCCACAATTTCAGCTAGTTGATCGTCAGTTATTATGTTGGACAAGATTCTTTGAAACATTAATACCATTTAAGTTATCGCAGTATAATATTATGACACCTTGTTTGACTTTGGATGTAAGTACTCCCTGCAGCAATGTACTTAGCTTCTGCAGTAGATAATGAGACACAACTCAGCTTCTTGCTAAACCATGAGATTAAATTGTTGCCAAGAAAAAAACATCCACCAGATGTGTTTTTTCTATCATCAACACTCCCAGTCCAATTATCATCACAATACTCTAAAAATATTGAGTTAGTATCATGAGAATAGAGAATAACATAGTCACAAGTCCCATTTATTTACTTCATGATTCTTTTCACTTGAGTGAGATGACTAGCCTTGAACGAGATGACTTTTCATTATCACTTTTTACCCATATTCTACTTCTTCTATATTATCACCAAAATTTCCTTAGTGTCAAGAGAGAAAAATATTTGTGAGGAAAATTTTCTTGGTGTTTGTGTTAATTTTGTTCTTATTCAAGAGTGTAGTTTTCTTGAGTAGTATCTTTGTTAGGTTCTTGAGATTAACCTGTTTGAAAATTTATTTGGTTTGGAGATTAACATGTGTAAAATCTCTTATTTATTGTAAAAAGGTTCGTGGGCATATATTATAAAAAGCTCAAGACATATTTTAGTAGAAACTCTCAAGAGGAAACTTTTAGGGATAAGAGTAGAACAAATGGTTAGTTAGAACTTGTACAAATCTCTTGTGCAATCTCCTTAACTCTATCTCTTTATTTTATGTCATTTATTTATCTTTTATATATATTTTCTTCTTTTTTCTTCTCTGTTGTTTATCTTAGTTTAATTGATAGGACTAACATAAGTTCGTTACTAAGTATTTTTTTTAATGTAATTTGAATTTCGGAATATCACAATTCACCCATTCTCTTGTGTTTGACGTCACTTGTTCAACCAAGTAGTACAATAATTTTCATGTTGTGGTAGAAAAAGTTTGATCAATGGTAAGATGATCTTTTTGTAAAACTTTAAGATTTTGGCATGTTATACTCATAAGTAGTTGTAAATCCATGTTTATTTGATGTCATAAAAATGCTTAGACAATTATTTAATTAATCAAATATAGATTGACACAATCAATTATTAATTAATTATATTATGGTTAATTATAAATAAACACTAATTATTGATTAATTATTTAATTGGACTTTGTGTCTGAATGGACTAGGATGGATTGGATCATTTAGTTAAGCCCAATGAGATGTTTCTGCCCTCAACCATTTAGTTATTTAAGCTATATCCCATTAAATGATTTACATATTCCGAAATCCTAGAAGGCAACGAGGATAGTAATCCTCTCATACTCTTTCCGATAACGTTCTCTCTAATTTTACAAGGTACGCATACTCTCTCCGATAATGTTCTCTCCAATTTTACAAGGTACGTCATTCATGATTTTTTCTCCAATATTGTATCTATTGTTATAAAATTAAATTCTTCAATTGGTATCAGAACTTGATTTAGATAAGTTTTATGACTATTATATTTATTAAAATTCATAAATAGGACATATGAATGTCTGTAAATTTTCCTTTTGATTTCAATGGTTTGGATTTTCGAAGTACAAACATGTTCTTATTTTCAAAAATATATTTATATCATAGTTATCTAATCAGGGATGATGTGCCAAAATTATTGACTTATTTTATTGAAAGGTTTCATAATAGTTTCTTCAATAATTACAAACATATTTATTGCCGTAAACATTATATATCTTTATGTATCAATGATATGTAAACAAACAATATAATGGGAAAGAAATCTGAATTCTGTTTTGAGGGCCTAAATATTTATGAAACGGTTTAGAATAGGGGTGTTCGCAGGTTGGGTTGAATCAAATTTGATGAAATTCAATACCCGACTCAATCAATAGTCGTTAGGTTGAGTTAAGTATTCAACCCGTACTTATAAAACTAAACCTGAACCAAACCAGCTCGTTCATCAATGAGTTTGATTGGGTTAGGTTCGCGGGCCATGCACTAATTTTTATAAAAAAATTATTATAAATAAAAAATCAATTCAATTAACACATTTATTTTACATAAACATTACAACATCATACACTTTTAGTATTTAATTAATTTGAATAAAATGTATCATTTAATATCTAAAAGCTCTTTCACAATTTAAATTAAGTTCAAAAAGAAATACAAAATGTGTAAAATATATTTGAAATGGTAAGATATATCAGTTTTTCAATAAAGAAATCCAGTCTCTCAAACTTGAATTAGGCTTAGATTTTTACAACTAATAAAAACTACAATTATATTAAAAAGTTATGTATATATAATGGGGATTTTGCTAGATCGTTTATAAAAGAAATTGATCTGACCTGATCAGGAGGGATCACGGACTGGCCACGCTTCGCCGGACGGTTATCTGTTCGCCGAGGTAAGAACGAGGAGGGGGTGTACCTGCAAAACACTCCGACGCCCAAGTAAGAAGTTGGACAGAGAGGAAGCAATAGTACAGAAAAGGGGGCAAGAAGAGTTACCTGACCCT